GTACTCAAAAAAAACTAGAAAATTCTACGGAAGGAAATTTGTGATGTGTGAAAATTGTCCTTTTTGTAGATTTTCTGAAATTCCGCTCCGTAGAATTTTTTAAAAATCTTTGTGCATTTTCCTTTTCAAGTGCCAAAAGCAATCACTGAAAAAAATCAGGGGGTCACCGGGTTAGTTTTCGAATTATTTAAGCCACAAGCTAAAAAATGCGTCTGAATAAGCCTATGAAAGCGTTGCCATGGAAACTGCTAGTGACGAAATGACACTTATTTTTTGATAACCAATGATTATGTAATTCAACCCCGTAAAAGTGTTCAACTGGCCTTGGTCAGCCTTTCTGTTGTATTCTTTCAAAGTTACAAACCATCAAAAAGATGAAAACCGGTACGAGCCACCTTAAGATTGAATAGCAAATCATTCCCATATTTCAAATAATTAAATTTTGCATACATTGTATTTTATTTTGTACGATTAAGACTTAAAACTGAATTGAAGTATATGACTGAGGAATTACCTAATGCTGTTGTTATAAATTATGAGGGTATAATTTTTAGTCAATTTTAAAATTTACCACTACTGAATATTCAATCAAAATGTCCTTCAACTTACAAACCAATAAGCTTAAGTTCAGTCCTCCCACATTGCTGTTTTGTTTATTTTTGGGTTAATGGACTCTGATGATGAGCTGTTTCAGAGAATGAAAGAGGCTGGCTCAAATGTATGTTACAACAATGTTTTGATTTAACTTCAAGGAAACCTTAATTTATAATTCTTTAACTCCTGAATAGTTCCCAATTTTTCCTTACAGGTTCACTGCTGAATCAAACTTTTAAGCCGTGAGAATAAAGGAAGTGAACCCCAACTTTAGAAGCTCTTCATTGTGAAACAAATTTTCTAGGTCATTACCCTTCAACAACCTTTTCTCTTCAAAAGGAAAGGCTTGCGATGCACCTCCCATCTGCTAGAATTAAGTAATGATAATGATTATTGTAATAATAATGATAATAGTAATAATATCTATGATAATAATTAGTTTTTGTGTCGTCTAACTACCAGAGTGAGGTTAGTTCTGAAAAGGACTGTTGTCGGTGATAGAGACTGGCATGTCTACAACCTGAGCAGAAGTCATTAACATAATCATAACTTCCCCACCAAGACGATCACACTTGAGTTTTTCAGTTTTTTTAATTTATTGTGGTATCCATGATGTTCATTTACTTTTTCTGCTGTTACCAATTTGTTATTTATCAAAGTAAACCTGAAATCAAAGATTAGGTTTTTCAGATTCCTTTTATAGCAACCTATAAAGATCAATCCGTCACCAGCTATGTATCACTTTGTTGAGTAGTTTTTGTTTACACTCCTGCAGTTTACACTCCTTACTATTTAATCTGATTGCTCAGACAATGCCAAACTTTCGTTTGTCCTCCTTTATCCTCAGAAGTCATTCAAGAGAGACAAGGTAACTGGACTGGACTCGTTGAAGTGCACAGTAGAAAAACCGACTCATGTTAACATCAATGGAGCGCCTTGAACGATCCTTTAAAATGTTCACACCCTAGTGTGACAATCCTGATTCATGACAAGTATTCAGAGTAGCAAGTTTATTTTTGTTACACCAGACAGCTGCTGTTTGTCATGACAACGGTCCTAATACCATCAGGATTTTCTTGTTTAGTATAGAAATATTCTTCAACGATCTAAAATTCCGTAAGTGAAGGAATCTAGATTTGCCACGTTTCTTTTGTCGTTGTTTGTTTATTTGTCTGACTACTTGGTATTTTCTATCTTTATGACCGGATGTTACCAAACACGTCACAACCAACCACATTCAAAACCATATATTTAAAGAAACAAGAACACTTTGTTTAATTTTTTATAACTAGAAGATGAATTGTTCGTTCTAATCTCGTAAATTATCATGATGTGTACGCGCCGTAATGGGGTTCAAAGTGAACATATTAAAAAAAATTGAACAGTTTCATGAAACACTCTCATTCACTTTTAACCATTTTTACCTTACTCACCACAAAGATTGTTGTCTACTCTTGAATGAACTTAACCTTCTCTTATCCCCAAGTTCAATTAATAATGGTAATTGCACTGAGTGCAGTGCAATTTGGGCTGAAGTCATACGCGTGATTTCAAAATTGAACGAGCGCGCAGCGCGAAAAAAAACTCTGAAAAACCCATGATTCTTTCCTTATGAGCCTGTAGCACTGAGAGAGAATGTCAGACAACTCGCCCCCTGGACAATTACCCTCAGACAACTGGCCCCCGATCTTCAGACAACTGGCCCCCAATAGGGAAACACTTATGTTACGTTAGACAAGTATATTTTTATGCTCATAAAGTAATAATTTCGTGAAAGAAAAGGAAAGTTTGTTTTTTAAAGTACAGAATGCTTCAAAACAACAACAAAAAAAACAAACCGATCTGTCGCATTTCAGTAACTTCAAATATTATGGCTGGATTACAAAATGGTCACGTTTCATGTATTTACGCGATCGGGCAATCGATCGTCACAAACGTAAGTCTCGGTCTGTAAAGTACTTTAAAAAAACAAACTTTCTTCTTTCAAGAAATTATTACTTTATGAGCATAAAAATATATTTTTCCAACGTAACATAGGTGTTTTCATATTGGGGGCTAGTTTTCTGAAGATCGGGGACGAGTTGTCTGGGGCTAATTGTCCAAGGGGCGAGTTGTCCGGATACCCTGAGAGAAGTTCAGTCGCTCTCCTCTTTTATTACTGAACTGCTATCAACGTACTACGGTTCATATTTTTTCAAAGTTTGAAAAATGTGTATAGTATATTCAGAGGCACCGTAAGTCGGGCTCAGACCTGTTCCTAGATTTTGTCGCGCTGTCTTCCGTAATCGGGGCAAGGAATTTGACATAAACGGCCCTCCCAGGATGAGAAATTTGAATTTGGCTGGGTAGGGCAGCGGATTTGAACCGAAAGTGTGAAGTCTTTTCAGCGGAACACCTCGTGTTTTTCTTTTTTATAATGTGGAGGAGTATAAAAGTAGAGTTTACTTTCGTTCGTGAATGACTGAGAATAAAAGGTCTTCAATAAGCATAATTTTGACGTACCTCTTGGAATATAAAGGTTGTATGCATTGAAAGGAGTGGGTGAATGCTAGTATACTCTCACTGGCACACAGTCTTGGAAAGCCAGTGACTGCAAATATTAATATTACGCGTGGCGTGGTCACGACGACATAAACTTCTGTCCATCAGCCGTTGCTCGAATGGTATTTCCATTCAAGGTTTTTCCGACGTTATGCTTCAGTTCTTCAAAGTCGCACAGCACAGAGAGGAGGACTCAATGTAATTAGGCAAAATAGGATGGGTTGCGGGACTCGTGTAGAAGAAAAGGGAAATGAATAAAGGTGATAAGTTTCTAAAAAAAAACTGTGGTGCTGCGTCGGTGGGGGTAACCGAAGGTAATTTGGTAATATCAACTAAGTTGAAATTGTAAATTGGCCACCGTAAAAAGTTAAAAAGCTGACGTTTCGAGCGTTAGCCCTTAGTCAGAGCGAATGGCGAAGGGCTAACGCTCAAAACGTCAGCTTTTTAACTCTTTACGTTGGCCAATTTACAATTTCAACTTAGTTGATATTACCAAATTACCTACAAGAAAAGGGCATTTCTTTCCTCTGAGTGGGTCCTCTCTTACAGATTCACCCTTGAACAGTTATTGAGCATGTGCACTGATTTTAGCCTTCAGCGCCTGTACTTATGCCATTTCAACCAGTGAAATTTCACCCATTACTCTAACATTAAACAGGTACATTTACATGTGGGCGTTTTGAACGTAAGTAATAAATTTATTATAGCAATAGCACGTATCCATTCACTAGCCAAGGAAATCTTTTTAGGAAATCGGTTTAATGTCCCGTCACACTATTTTTTTTCAAAGGAAACATAGCAGACAGCCCAGACGAACTCAACTAAAGCGTTCATAACATCTTTAAGGTAAGTTAGTTTCTTTAGGTTTTCTCTTTCAGGCCGCAAAAATACCAGCTCGTGCTGGAATGGAAGAAAATCAGTATGTTAACAACTGGAAAATGTTTTATCGAAAAAAGATCGTTGCCCTTAAATATTTATTAAAGTAAGACCACCCAACGTGGATAACTCAGTCTATTACGAGCTGGAATCTTATTGCAAGGATATAGTTTTGAATTCAGTACTAGCCTTATCACGTATTGGAGACTATTTCTTAAAGAGACTTGGTGACAAGAAATGCAAATAGTAACGAAAGACGGGTAGTGAAATAATTGAGGCTCTTTAAGCGAAATATTTTTAATTTCAAAATCGTTTGGGTTCCAGTTAACATTTCTATAATCACACTAAGTTCAAAATCAGCCCTCAGCTTGACATCCCACATAGTTTTTTAATGGAACAAGACTGACCGGAGAGCTCGGTGTCGATTATTTTGAACCCGCCTTTTAAGTGTGAAAACTCATTTGAATTACAAATAGTTTTTAAAAATTAATATTCATAGTTGCGCTTGGTCTTACACGTGGAGAGAGCTTACAAACTACAAGAAATTTCTGCGTCTTTCCAGCTTCTATGGATTCAAGAAACACATCATTTTGACCTCATTACCTTGGATATTGCAAGTTCTGTCAAGGTCGGCGAGTGCTTCTGCTAAATTAATGGTCAAGATTCGACGTCGAGGATTCATGACTTCAACTTTGTCAAGACCTTTCTTCAGGTAAATAAGCTATGTACAGACATATTTTAGATGCAAATGCAGTGTTCGTGTTTTACGTTGTTGCCCGAATAAAATAAATGTACAAACTCGAATGTAAGAAGGGACAGCAAGATCACGTATTACAGTATAAGACAAATCCTCGGTAGCAGTTGCCATGACAGTTCTTGATCATGTCTTCATGGAAACGCTGAGAAAATCGTTTATTATCGCTTATTTCCTTACTGCCCTTTTCATTTCTGTATTGATTTATCATGCTATGCATAGTTTTTATACTTATTATGTTGTGGCATCAGAGTTAATAGAGGGAACTGGTTATGAAAGCCGGCGAACTTCAAACGATGGAACTCTTTGTGATGGTTTATGGCATGTCACGTGACCGCGAAGGTGCACAAAATATGAATACTCTGGCGGCATTAAGATCGTTTTAGACGCGTTTGTTATCAATCCTCGACACCGCCAAAGAAAGTAGAAAGTATCTAATACCGCAGTTCAAAATATATGAACTTCATCTATACATTGTATCCAAAGTAGAAAGTAATCGTCTAACTGTTTTACATATGTAGAGTCCTCTTTTCTGGATATCAAAGAATTGATTCCATCCTACACAAGCAGAATCCTGCCACAGATGGCATTTCTTGCTGCTATTTGTATTGTCAGAGAAACCTGACATAAGACTTTCGGGCAACCTGATATGCATCGGCATATCAAGGGTTTTTATACTCCTTGACACTTCATGCTAAAGAAAACGGGGTAGGCTCCGACAAAGGAACGAGGCGACCTCTTATGCAGCCACAGGTCTTTATTTAGAATCGGTTTTCTTAATCTAGTCTTTATGATGCTTAATATAACGGCACCTCATCGCTTTAGACTTCCACTATTATAAGATATTTTTTTCCTCACAGAAAAGTGGCTTTCTACTTTAATTCTACATCACATATGAGGATTGTGGTGGTAAAACACTACTACTTATATATCAAAGAAATATGTTTTCCTTCAATCTGAGTTTTGTTTTGACCAATCCTCTGCCCCAGTTATAATTAGTTATACTAGGGCTGTTTTAGTCTCCAAATATGTTTTGTAACAAAAGTTAACGTTTTTTTTTCCCCTAGGACAGTTGCAAGAAGGAAATGTGGAAACATCGAATTCCAGAAGTGCAATAGAGGAAAGACTTGTAGGACAACTTTTAACGCGGTTAGTCATTTGGATTTTTGTAACGTATTAGTTATTTGAGCCTGGTCGTCTGTATTAAACGATCTAACCTGGATTTAGCGAATATTTTCAAGAAAAAATGACCTTGGTCAGTAATGAAGAAAAACTGCAAACAAATTAATAGTTCTATTTTTTTTCTGTCTGATTTCATGGACCTGTCTCTGATTAAAGTGGCTTTCAGCTGTTCACAGCACTGCTCTTTTAATGAATGAACACCAAGATGAACACTTTTTGTCTGTTTTTGTGAAACACTGGCTTAAAAGAAATCACTATCCGCTATTTTGCATCCAATGACCATCCATCTGACCTATCAAGCTACTATAGCAACGTTTACCTCTGTCAAATTATCCTTTTAGTTTCAATATCAGAAAATAATAATCAGATGGATCTCGATGGTCCCACTTTTATTGACTACTATCAAGAGAATATAAACTATTTATCAGTGTTGTCTCACTACTATCTTGCAAAGGGTAAAAATTTTACTAGGTATAGCATTCCAGCAAGCCACGCATAAGGATCGTCGTACTTAAATGCGCTTCGTATCTGCCAAGAGACTCTTCTGACACCTTAAGTCTAACTCGTCAAAAATTGCTTTCAATTACTACTGACTTTCAAACGATTTCAAGATTCTGGCTTCCTTCAAGGATTTCCAATTGCATAACTTCCGAAAATAATGTATTTTCCCCTCGGCTACGATCAGAAAATTTTAAAACTTTTTTCAGAAAGTTATAGTTTGCAAGCTAACCTTTGCTTAAGTTAAAGTAGCAAAACAAAATTAAGGGGAATGTTTCAGTTTATACAGGTTTTGAAATCTTTTAACAGATGTTAATTTGGTACATTTTCTGACAAGTTGTCCCGTCAGTGATAACTACGATATTATACCACGATGTTTTCTGTTAGATGTTCTTAAAAGTGTAGGGGTTTATCTCTTTACTCATTCTGTAAACGTAAAGCCGAAACGTCTCTACTCTTGAGGCCAAACACAATTTGGGAAGCTGGAACATTTCATAATTCTGTAGCTAATCTCTTCAATTTCATTTCAATCCGGCTTAAATATCGTTAGTGTTCTTGTAATTTTTCACAAATTTGAAATAAATTTTTCGTCATTCTATAAATACTTTGAAGCCCAACTGTTGAATGTCTTATTTTCTTGAGGCAAAATAAAAAAATAGGAAAAATAGCATGCTCCGACAGTGATATAATTTCCCTTTTTCTTTTTTCTTTTTGGTGTATAGCTTTTTTACGTGATTCAAGAAACGTTAGAGAGTCTTATCACAACTGTTTGAGCCCTTGGGGCTAAAACTAAATTGAAACATGCTCCAAATTAATATTTGTCTTTAAAATTCCATCTAGGGTTTATCATCAGTTGATATTGAACTTTCTTAGGTGACTGATAACATCTTAGAGATGCTTGAGCTCTTGAGCCTAAGACCAAATTGAAACAGTTTGCTTCAATAGCGATATTTCTCCATTTGTTCGCAGAGTTAATTTGCCATTAAATCTCACAGCTTTTTAATTTTCAATAGGGAACACAAAAAGTATAGCCAACCTTTCTGGACGAGGGAAAGGTGAAACTCATTTGCATCATAACAACTACCGATTATTTTCTTCACCAATTGGTTTCTGAAGGTATCTTAAATCGCAAGGAAATCTGTTTGGTGCTTTCCAATATTGTTGCTTGTATAGATACGTCAGTAGAATTAGCCTATTTTTCCCTGAGAAAGCACATGTATAGTCTTTGTGTAAAAAGACTGTACGGATCGAGAAGAATGTTGATCACGACATGATTTGGTTCGCTGGTTTTACCATTTCACCAAAACACAGAAACTGTAAGAGACACCAAAACACAGAAACTGCCACCTTAATCCAAATTACAGTCTCATAACCATAACGAATACTTCAACTACTCACAAATAATTTGCAGTTTTTTGTCCTTAAAAAACGCTTGTCGTAGCAAATGCAGGTGTAGCGCATTTCTCAAGTTAACAATATGTCGAGTCAGAACTAGGTTTCACTCGCAAATTCGAGGTCTGTAAAGGTATTTTTTTACGTGATCGTTATTCAAATACAAACGAATTTTCACGCACCACAACATATAGTTCGATGGTTCTCTTTATGATTAGATGCGAACAGTAGCTTCTCAGAAATATTTTCACGCTATTTCTTATTTTGCTCTCTCGTCGAAAATTTGTTCAATGGTTCTATAGTTCAATAGTTTAATAGTTCAATACTTCAAAGATTAAAAAGAACCCGGGAAATGATTTGAAATATAATGTAAACAAGCAGATCTTAAGGGAATTGTTTGCTTTCTCGTCGAAAATTTGATCAATATCATAATAGTTAATCGCTTTAAAGAACCCGAAAAATTATTTGAAATGTAATACAAACAAGCAGTTATTAGAGATGAATTCCATCATGATCTCAGAGGAATTTTTGGTAAACATTCAGATTATTGAACTGAAATTAAAAACTGTCGGCCGAAAGTGAAGAAGTTTAATCACTGAACACAGGTAGGCGAAAAGTTGAAAATGAAACTCAGCTTAAAGTCAATTTGAGGGCAATGGCAGCAACAATCTCTTCGAATTTATTACCGTCATTTTGAATTTATCGTTAAATCCAGGTTACGTTCACGTTCACGTTCACCCGTAAAGTCATACAATAAATAGAAATTTGGATACGAATTTATACTTGCTTAACATTTCAAAATACGTTTTTCTTTGAGAGGAACCAAATTTTAAAATATACTGATTGCATTTGTTGATTAATGGTTTATTTTTGTTTTCTTGCAGACTGATGTTTCAATCACGATTCAGAGGTACAAAACAGATGTACCACATTTCTCGCAACAATATGTCGAGTCAGAGCCAGGTTTCACTCGCAAAATCAAGTTCTGGAAAGTTACATTTTTTACGTGAATTTTGTCGGTTCAATTTGTGCTAAGGGCTGCTTAAAAAGTTAAAATTTTCCCGCCAAAAAAACTTTTAAAATGTAAGTAACATCTGTTCAAATGTGGCGAATTTTCCCGCCAAAAGACTTAGAAAAAAATACGCATGCGCCGGATTTTTTTTTTTTGTAAAAATGGTTTAAAATTGGTATTTATTTCCTTGTCGTCTACTTGTATTGCTATTTGATAACAAGTCAATAAAGTTAAGTGACTAGTCTTGTCTCATCTTTTATTGTCTTCAATATTCACTCAATGAACTACAAGTTGATAGTCAATTAAGTAATTTTCAATTAAATTATTACAAAAGTGTCAGGGGAAAACTTTTCGTGTATATACTAAGACTTTTGGCGGGAAAATTTGGACCAATTTGCACAGAGTTTCCCCTAGCTTCCTTTTCCGCAAAAAATTCAAAAAGGCTCCCTCCGAAATTTCCCGCCAAAATATAATCAAGTAGCATCTCGTGTAAAAAATCGAGGAGCAAACGAAAATGCTAAGTTCCGTTACTTTTAAATGAAATTTTGATTCGACTTTGTCCATCTCTTAGCCAATTTGTTTCTTTCTTTTTGAAATCTTCAATTCTTTGCACGAGATGATGAGTGGAATTTGTGGACGAAACAGCATCATGGCAAACTATAGAGTCCAATTAGTAATATAAAATTTATCGCCAAATGGTCATCAATTTGTAAAGTTACGTTTGCTTTTTCTCTAGTGTACAGCTTGCCATGATGCTTTTTCGGAACAAATGATCTTTAACTTCGTCAGTTTACGATTGTAACACAGGATATAGGTTGTATAAGCACCGAAACAAGACTACACTGAATTTATCAATTCAAAATTGTTTTTTAAAATTCAAATGAAAGAAAAAACTTACTTATTGGATCATACTCTGAATTTAATTTCGCCACGTGAGCGAAGACATTTTACAATCAGACTTTTGATGTACCATAGTAGCAAGTCTATCAATTGTTAGAGTAATCTATTTCAATTTTATTTTAGCTATGTAGGCTCCATGTCTAATAAACCAAATTCGAGAGGCAAGTCGAGCGAACCTTTTTAATTTGATTTTTGGCTCCAAGGTACTTACAGCAATTTCCTTCAGCGAGATTTGTTCAATTTTTCTTTTATTGCAATTAAAAACTGAACTTTAAGATGAAAAATTCACATTTTTGTCAACTTTTTTGCTGTACTCCTGTGTTACACCGACTGACTACAGAAAAGATCTTACTTCCACTTAAAATAAATTAACTACGCTATATTTTAAAACCAAATGCCTGGTCTTTAAAACAACCAATGTTTGTTTTGTGGATTAGCCAGAAAACTATTTTTAATAAAACAACTTTATATAAAAACCATGGGATAGTGTAGTCCTAAGAAGGACTGTTGTCGGTAGTGGTGACTGACGTTTCGACAACCTGTGCGGAAGTCATCATCAGAGTCAAGTGAATAGTTGTTCTTAGTCTGGTTCGTAGAAACTGATTGGTCAGTATTGGCTACAAGACTCAAGTGGCAGGAGTCGGTCGTGATAGGTCAGTTTCGACCCGTCGGAAAGTTGGTCGTTCTCTTCGTTTGTAAAGTTAATGTTGTGAAGTAGCTGACACCTGTTGAGGGGAGTCTGTTCTAAGTTAATAAACCAGCTTTTCCGAGTCAAACTATGAAAGTAGGTTAGGCGTTGTGCAGGGTCCCAGTCAACAGTGTGGTTTGTAAGTCGATGATGTTCAGCAATGTAACTGTTTACATCACCTTTCTCGTTGCCCGCGGGCGACTACACTATCACATGTTACCCTCCCCTCCCCTCCCCGGTTCAGACCATTTACTGTTTTACCAGTTAAAAGAGAACGGTTGCAGTCTATATATAAAAAAGAACTAATTTTTCTGAGCGACGATACAATACACTCATTTTCATCCATAAACTTTAATTTGTACCCAACTACTTTGCCTCTTTGGTTCGCCGTTCGTTTTCGTAAAATCAATGTGTTTTTTTTTCTCAACTTTTGAATTCATAACAAGAAAATATATTCATCATCATCAATATTCGAAAAAATTCAACAAGAAAACATCGTATAGCTGATATGATTTAGAAAACAATGCAATTTGCATTCCCGATTCGCACGTTTGTTGAGAAAAATTATCGAGGCTGAACAAAATTCCAAATCATTGCACGAGTAGAAAATGATTTAGCTTCTTATTTTTTCTGTTCGTACGAGACAAGTATGCTTGTTTGTCAATAGTCGTATTTCATATGCACTGGTAAAAGTTTGCTCGTACATTCAGATTGATTTTCGCTTAATCTGTGAATGATTTTTCGGCGATTTGCAAAACAAGTAAATACGTTCATTTCTATCGTATGGACTATTGATTTGAAACATGAAAATCTTTATTTCTTTGACAAAGGAGTCGATTTAAACTGGTTTATATCTAGGCAAATCTCAACTAAATCAATTTTCGAAAAAGCTCGTGACCAGGCATTACAGTTTTAAACCACAACACTATCAAAATAAAACGGAACTCAGATGATGACACAAAGTTGCATATAAAAAAATCTAAGATGGCACTCGGTGATTTTTTTTGCTCCATGCATGGAAAACAAATGTTTTCTTTTCTGAACAAAACTTGTTAAATAACTTTAATTCAGGTCATGCCGAGATTGAATTTTCAGTTGGATCAATGTGTTTTGGAGCCATTCGTGTTTTCCGATCGTCCAGTGAGAGTAGTCCTAAAAAAAGGACTGTTCTGTGCGAGTCGAAAATTGCAATTTTCGTTCGTAAAACTGATTAATCAGTACTGCAATTAAGTGGCTGTCAGACTCAACAGCGTTCGACGGTTGATAAGTCAGTTTTGATCAGTGGGTAGGGTCGGTCAGGTTAGTTTGTTTTGTTTGTTCTGTCTGTGCCCATGTTTACTTTCTTTTAAAGGTGCCAGTAGTTGTTGTCATCGGTTGAGGAGAGTCTAATCTAAGTTGGTAAACTAGCTTTTAACGTCAGTCGCTGAAGATTGTTGATGCAATACAAGACTAACACAGAGTGGCGAACTGGTTATTGATACAGTCGTATTGTTAGTCGATGGCGTTCAGCAATGTGATCTTTGACGATTGAAATTGATCCAACTTATTAATATATTTTAATTTTAGATTTCACTCGGTCTTCACTTTAAGTGCCACCTTAACAAATCTCAACTTTGTGCGACATCAACTGAAATACAACTGCGAAACAAATTGTAAAGCAAAATCAAAAATGAGCGATCAGTGCTTTGAAATAAACTGACAATTTTAGATCCAGCTTTCCGCAGCCAGGTTTAAATAAATTTCCAATTGTGCTTTTGGTTAATTTGACGAAGCGAGATAATCTGAGACAAACTGGACCAAATTATAGCTAGTGGTTCTCAGTTCATCAAAAGATCGCTCGAGGTCTGCTTAACAATCCGTTACACAACATACTATTCCAAAAATGGTGGCGTGTACACAAATATTCACCTAGGCCATGAAATCACGTTTTATCCATTCCATGTCCATTGATGGAATAATAAAGACTTCTTACAGTAACAGGACATTTAGAGAGCCACCATTTTTGCTACTGTTACGTAATAATTTCAAAGTTCTTATCTTTGCAATATTCACTGAAAGTTCAGTGATTCTAATGTCTTCTCTTGACCAGAAACTTTATCCTTCCATTCTTCTGATATCTTTGCTTTTCCTGAAAATACAATTTTGAAGGTGATCAGGTAATGGTACTTTCTGAATTTATAATACGCTTATAATGTCTTTGCTCTAAAAAAAAAAATAGATGACTATGTATTCACAATGGTACCAAGGCCACCAAATTGTTTGGTAGACGAGCCGTCAAACATCCACGTGGCTACAGAATGAAGTACCACGTGAATTGTAACGTAAAAACTCTCTTTCATTTAGCAGCCTTCCAAAATATATAAACCAATTCTCTTGACATTTTTCTATAACTGTAAGCTCTACTCTTCTCGAAGCCAACAAACTGTAATTCATTCGAACCACGATTTAATACGCCACTCAGACCAAGCAACCGACTCGCGTTAACTCGTTTAACTGAGATGATGCCACTCGCTAATTAAGCTTTTTGAAGAAGTATTTGGCAAAGAAAATGCTCACCTTTGGTTGTAGTAACAGAAGACGGGATGTCGTTGCTCTTCTTTCCTGGTCTAGCGCTTTCATCCTTCCAGAGTTCAACTTTATCTTCGGCACTACAGACGGCACGCCTTCCCTCTCCGACGGACGGTGTGGTTTGCTGAAAATTCTACATATTCTTATTAATATGGATTAACAACTGCAGCCAATAATCTGCTGAAACGTCACTGAATACGTGCAGAGATTTATTTGCCCGCCCGCTCTCGCTAATGAGAAATCAAGATAAATAAGAGGCTTTGTGTGTGACGAATTCATACTTGGAAAAAAGGAATAAAATATGTGTAACTGCATTGTAAAAATGCTCATGTCTTCATTGTATAAATAGCTGACTAAAGCAAGCAATGAAGAAGACACATTGCTGTTTACTAAAGGTAGCGTACGATAAAAAGAACGCAAATATGAAGATGGTGCAATTAGTGTTTCCCTTAAAGAAAAGAGAAACATCACTGGTATACATCGAACGCTTTCTTAATCCTTGTAAAGGAAAACGAGATTTAAAGAACACAAAGTAAAGAGAAGGCATCATTGATTCACCGCGCAGTGAGCGTAATAGGAACGATTGGAAAAGAGATCGCGCAGTTGATCCCTCAAGGAAGGATGCTAAATGATGCAAGGGAGAGGGGAGAGAATAACTCGATTAGAGGGGGGGGGGCGGCAAGGGGAGTGGTGATAAATATTGAAAGGCTCTTTGAAATTTTCAAGTAACCTGGGGGGGAGGGGAAGTGGTGATAAAAAATTGAAACGTTATTTGAAATTCTATAGTAACCTATGAAAGATTACATCACAAATTTGATATGAATTTTCAACATCCGTTATTCTTCAAAACCTTGTCGTTTCCGATGTCGGTGCACTGATCCCAGATCTCAACCGTTTCTAACTCGTGGATACGCGAAGCCAACCGAAACGGTGGACGTTAAATGTCATATCCAAATTTGACTCCACCCATTCGCATTGCCTTCATCAAACACACGCGTGAACAGTCTGCGTGGTACACACGAGCGAACGGAGGTGAGTGGCGAGTGCGATGCGTGGGTTTCATTAACGAATGATTTAAAACAGTAAAATTCCATTTGTTTAAATTTTAATCTGAGAGCGCTTGTCCCATATGCAGCAAAGTCATCGTCTTGAGAGAGAGGGGGGGGAGGTCGGATGATTTTGGTTGTGTCACGGTGAAATTTACCTGATTTTCCCGCCCCCCCCTCACTGGTAGTTCATTGACAGCATATTTTCTGTAGTCCCACCTTTATATTCTGTTGACGACGACTGATCCCCTCCTTTACCCCTTGAAAATCATGTGATCCTCTCCAAAATCCTCCGATTGATCCCTAAGCACAAAAGAAAGAGAGAAAAACGGAAATGTTTAACTGATAAGAGGAGAAATTAGCACTAGAAAATGTTCTAAGGTAAGCATTAGTAAATATTTTTCTGGGAGTAAAAAGAAAATTGTTAACAAAGAAAAGCGAAATACGGGAATTCGAACTTGGGACTACACAATTGCCAAGCAGGTGTCGATTACACATCGCTATAGGCTCATTTGCAATATTTGTTGGGAGAAAATAACATTTTTGACCGAGCTAGTGTAGTCCACTTGGCTATGTTAGCGGACTCAAGTGATCTTTCTTACGGAATGGAATTTAAAGATTTTAACAACGGAGACTTTAAAGAAACTATTAAGAATTAAAATCAGCTATAATAATAAGTTGTTTGGTGCCTGACAGGCGCTTTGAACAGCTTAGCACCAAACACCCCATTAGTACGGCTGATTTTTATTCTTAATAGTTTGTCGGAAGCCATTGTTATTAGTCTGGAGAATGACAATCAAAGAGCTGCGTGACTTTGTGAATCTTGTACAAGTTAGCCGATGTTTTAACTTTGTTTTTTCGTTGTAGTGTTTGACTTTCTCATTCTTATTGCTATCCTTGCTCTTTAACAATTCGTTGAGTGAATTCTTCTGAAAGCGACGTTTTTCATGTAATCAAAGGTTTTCTCCTATTTCCTTATCTCTCGCACAAGACAGCTAAAAATATCATTATGCAACTCCGATAAAACGTTTCCTTCCAATCCCGGCACCCACCTTGTCGGGTAGTCGTTATTTGGTCTCGTCACGCAACAGGCTCTTTACCTGACGACGTGACGAGGTCAAACAGCAGCTGGAAAGCAGGTTATTCCCAGCGCAAATCCAGCCGCATTTCAAAGGAACCATTTCTAGAATTATTTCCAATGCGTAGGTGAATGAATAACCAGACAGCATGTTCCCGAAACTAAGTTTAATATCTTAAGCTGATAAAAGAGATTTCGAGCAAGCATTACATATTCATTGCGTCCTTTTCGTCTTCCCGAAAATTAACGCAAAGACTGCAATTTTTACAAGTCTATAGAGGGAGTCATGGGAGATGAGAGTAATTATTATCTAGGGTCTAGCTGATCAAAGGACAGATTACGCTATCCAAAGTATAAATGACTATCCAGTGGATAAGCTTCAACAAAATGCACTGCGCTTTCCACCGGATGGAGATTTACCCAATAGCATTATCCACCTTTCGAACAGCCGGGTTGGGTGAGTGTACCTGTATGCCACAGTTAAATGAAACGAATTATATTGGCGTGTTTTATCAAATGATAAGAACGGTCTAAGAATTCTCGCCCTATGGGGTTCAGTTTAAAATGCATGCGTTTTGATGTCATATTGTGTATCATTATGTTTTACTGTGACTCATTCGAAGTTCTTTCTTCATCTCTTTACAGATTTCATGAAGTATGACTGATCCATTCAACATTTTGAATTTCTCCTCCAATTCTACGCCGATACTTTCTCGGGCCTTATTTTCTTCTTTATTTCGTCTTGGAATCTGAAGTAATAAAAACTTCATAAACCAAAAAAACTACAAATTTCTTCCTTTGTACCAATTCTTCCTCCAACTGGCTTTTATCTCTCCATTCCTTGAAACAACTGAATAAAATGCAATCCTAAGCGTCAGCACGATAATCACGAAACAATTGAATAAAATGTAACCCTTCGCATGCACAAGGTACTAACAAAACAATTGAATAAAATGTAATCCTTCGCATGCGCAAGATACTAACAAAACAATTGAATAAAATGTAATCCTAAGCCTGTGCAAGAGAGTAACGAAACATTCAAACGAAATGTAATCCTTAGTGTGCCAAAGATACTAAAGCAACAATCCAATGAAATGTAATCCTTGCCATTCGCAAGATACTAAAGGAACAATCCGATGAAATGTCACTCAAGCGTGCGTTGGATATTAATAAACAATCCACTAAACTGTAATCCTTAGCGTGCGCAAGATAACAAAGTAAAAATCAAATGAAGTGTTGTCACCCTAAGCATGCACAGAATACTAACGAAACGATCGAATAAAATGTAATCCTTAGCGTGCGCAAGATATATATACTAAAGAGACAATCGAAATCCTTGGTGTGCGCGTGATAATAACGAAACAAGTGAATGAAATCTGATCCCACGGGTGCGCAAGATACTAACGAAACGATCGAATGAAACGTAATGCTTAGTGTGCGATAGAAAGTAACGAAAGAATCTGAACGAAATGTAATTGCAAGTGTGCGCGAGAAACTAACGAAACAATGAAATCACATTCAATCCCAAGCGTGCCTGAGGCACTAACGAAACAATCGAATGAAATGTAATCCTAAGTGTGCGCGATATACTAAAGAAATAAGCGCATGAAATGTAATCATAAATGTGCTTGATTGCTGACGAAATAATCAAATGAAAGTTTTCGGAAATCCTACGTGCCCGCGAGATACTAACGAAACAGTCAAAGTCTGTGCAAATAACTAAAAATATTAAAGAAACAATCGAATGAAATGTAATCCTTAGCGTGCGCAAGATACTAACCAAACAATCGAATGAAATGTAATCCTAAGCGTGCACAAGATAGTAACGAAACTATCGAATGAAAGTTAATCCTTCGCGTGCGCAACATACTAAAGAAACAGTGTAATCCTTAGTGTGCCCTTGATACTATGAAACAATCGAATGAACTGTAGACCTTAGCGTGCGCAAGATTATAAAGAAACATTCGAATGAACTGCAATCTAAAGCGTTCGCAAGATAATAACGAAACAATCAAATTTAATGTAATCGTTAGCTTGCCGAAGATGCTAACGACGCTATTCAATGAAATGTTATCTTAAGGGTGCACAAAATACTAAAGAAAAAATGAAATGAAATGTAATCCTTAGTGTGTGCAAGATACTAAAGCAATAAGAAATGTAATTCTTAGAATGCTCAAGATGCTAACCAAACAATCAAATTAAATGGAAACCTTAGCGTGCGCAAGATACTAAAGAAACAATCGAATGAAATGTAATCCCAAGCGTGCACAAGATACTAACCCAAAACAGGGAACTGTTATCGTGCGCAAGATACTAACAAAGTAATCGAATGAAATGTAATCCTAATCGTGCGCAAAATACTGAGGCAATAAAAAATGAAGTTTTAAGATACTAACGAAAAAATCAACGGAAATATAATCCCAAGCACGCGCTAGATGCTAACGAAACAATGGAATAAAATGTAATCTTTAGCGTGCACAACATACTAACAAAACTATCGAAATAATTACAATATCTAACGTCCGCTTCAAACTAAAGAAGCAATGGAATAAAATTAAATGTAATCTTTACCGTGCACCAGGTACTAAGAAAATAATAGAATATAATTTAATTTTGAGTGAGTGTTTGATAATTGCGGAACTAGCAAATGAAATGTAATTCTTAACGTGCACAAACTACTAGCCAAACTATCGAATAAAACGTAATTAGCGTTGGCTACATACTAAACAAACAATCGAATAAAACGTAGTTCTTCGCCAGTACAGGACAGCGGTACAGTAGTTGTTGGCATGCGTGGTCTTGGGCCCGCGCGGTTCTACTTGCGCCAGAGAGCCCGTTCGTCCTGTATTCATTTTGCCCGTTCAATAAAAGTCAGTTGTGTTACGAGCCGTGTCGTCGGCGTACGCGCTTGACATGAACGAAAAAAAAAAGGGAAAAAGAATTGTTGGCAGGTGCTAAGTACTAACGGGAAAACTGAATGCAATGTAATCGTTAGCGTGCGCAAGATATCGTAAAAAATAGTGAATAAAATAGCATCCTTTGCGTTTACAACTTACTAACGAAACAATCGAATGAATGTAACTCTATGCGTACGCAACAAGCTAAGAGACTATTAAATAAAATTTAATTCTCAGCGTGCGAAAGGTACTAACGAAAAAAATGAAATGAAATTCTTAGCGTGCGAAAGATACTAACGAACGATCGAACGAAATGTAAATCTTAGCGAAAAAAACGAAGCCATCGAATGAAATGTAATCCGAAGCGGGTGTTAGATACTAATGAAACAATTAAATACTAATGTAACAACTAATACTAATGAAACATGGGGAAATGAAACATTAGATACTAATGAAACATCGGTGCGTGGCTCGACACTGTCATGTCCACGAACAAACAAATAAACAGCATATGTTAGTCTGCTTTTTACCACCTGCGCAACATTGCTCAAATCAGTAAACAGATCTCTTGCCGTCACTGTGAAACTTTGATCCACGCATTCGTGACATCCAAGATTAACCATTATAATACACTACTCTCAGGTCTTAGGCAGGATCAAGTCCGAAAACTCCATTGTGTCCAATATTCAGCAGCCCGACTTCTAACAGGCTCACGTAAACACGAGCACATTACACCTGCGCTAAGAGATCTGCATTGGTTACCTGTTCATGAGCGTATTCGTTTTAAAATTTTACTAATGACTTTTAAATGTCTTAATCAACTAGCGCCATCATATCTAAGTGACCTCTTAACTCACTATAGACCATCAAGGACATTACGTTCGTCTGATAAAAAGAACTACTGTCACAGCCCCGCTGCCAACTGAAAACATATGGGGAGCGATCTTTTTCCTTCACTGCCCCAAAACTGTGGAATATCCTCCCTTTAAAAGTATAAAACGTTGCAAGTCAACAGAATCTTGTAAATCTACTCTTAAGACGTACCTTTTTAGAAATTAGTAAGAATCTTTAACTGTTTTTTGGGCTTTTTTCTTAATGTTATATCATTCATTGTTGTAAAGTGCTGTTGGTTCAGCAGAGAAACAGCGCTATATAAGAAGATTATTATTATTATTATATTAAATGAGTGTAATACTCAGCGTGTACAAGATACTAAAGAAACAATCAAAAGAATGTAATTCTTAGCGTGCGTAAGTTACTAACGAAAGAATCGAATGAAATGTAATCCTAGGCATGCACTAGATCCTAAAGAAATAATCAAATGAAATGTTTCCCTCAACGGGCGGAAGATACTAAAGAAACTATCGGATGAAATGTAATCGATAACCAGCATATGATACTAACAATTAAATGCAAGGTAAACCTAAGTGTGCACTTTATACTACAGAAATAATCAAATGAAATATAATACTTACGAGCGCAGGATACCAAAGAAACAATCCAATAAACTGTAATCTTTGGCGTGCGCAGGATACTAAGGATACTAATCAAATGAAATGTATCCCCTAATGTGCGTAAGATACTAAAAAAACCATCGAATGAAATGTAATCCTTACTGTGCGCAAGATACTTGCGAAACAATCAAATGAAATGTAATCCTTAGTGTACGCAGGATACTAACGAAAAATGGATTAAAATGTAATCCTAGCCGTGCCCAACATAGTAACGAAACAATCGAATAAAATGTAATCCTGGGCATGCGCTAGATACTAAAGAAACAATCCAATGAAATGAATCGTTAGCCCGAGCATGATACTAACGAAACAATCAAATGGAATGCAAACCTAAGCTTGCCCTATATACTACAGAAGCAATCGAATGAAATGCAATCCTCAGTGAGTGCAAGATACTAAAGTAACAATGCAATGAAATGTAATCCTTAGCGTGCGAAAGATACTAAAGAACAATCGAAAGAAATGTAGTCCTTAGTGTGCTTAAGATGCTAAAGAAACAATCGAATGAAATGCAATCCTTAGCGTGTGTAAGATACTAAAGAAACAATCAAATTATGTTTAATCTTTCGCGTGTGCAAGATACTAGAGAAACAATCCAATGAAATGTAATCCTTACTGTGCGCAAGATACAACGAAACTATCGAGTAAATTTTAATCCTAAGCGTGCCTTAGATACAAACGAAACAGTCGAATGAAATGTTATACTTAGTGTGCGCAAGATAGTAACGAAACAATCGAATGAAATGTAATACTTAGCGTGCAGAAGCACGAAACAATCAAATGGAATGCAAACCTAAGCATGCGCTACATACTTAAGAGAAAATCGAACGAAATTTAATCCAAACCCTGTCCAAGATACTAACGAAACGATCCAATGGAATGCGTGCGCAAGATAGTAAAAAAACAATATAATCCTTAGTGTGCGGAAGATACTACAGGAACAATCGAATACAATGTAGTTCTTAGTGTGCACAAGATACTAAAAAACAATCAAAAGAAATGTAGTCCTTTGCCTGCGCAAGATACTTACGACACTAACGTAATCCTTTGCGTACTGAAGAATCAATGGAAACAAATGCAATTCATTTGTGTGCGTAAGATACTGAAGAAACAATCTAATGAAATGTAACCCTAAGCGTGCACGTAATACTAACGAAACTATCCAATGAAATGTATTCCTATGCGTGCGCAAGATACCAACAAAAGAATGGAATGAAATGTAATCGCTAACGTAAGCTGGATACTAGAGAAACAATCGAATGAAATGCAACCCTACACGTGCGCAAGATACTAACGCAATAAAGATTGTAATTTTTGGCGCACTCAAGATACTACCCAAACAATGGAATAAAATTTAACCCAAGTGCGCGCAAGATACTAACGACACTATTGGCTTAAATGTAATCCTAAGCGTGTTCAAGATAGTAACAAAACAATCGAATGAAATGTAATCCTTAACGCGTGCAAGATAATAACGAGACAATCCAGTGAAATGTACTCCTTAGTGTGCGCAAGATACCAACAAAACAGTGGAAGGAATTGTAATCCCCAGCGTGCCCAAGATAGTGAGTAAACGAAAATATCCAATCAATTGTAATCCTTAGCGTGTGCAAGATATTAACGAAACAATCAAATGAACTGTAATCCTTACCGTGCGCAAAATACTAAAGAAACAATGCAATGAAATGTAATCCTTAGTGTACGCAATATACTAAAAGAAAATCGAAAGAAACGTGATCCTAAGCGTGAGCAAAGTTCTCAAGAAACAATCCAATGAAATGTAATCCTAAGCGTGCCCTTGCTACTAAAAAAAAAACAGGCGAATGAAATGTAATCCTTAGTGAACGCTTGATACTAACAAAAAAAATCGAATGATATTTAATCCTTAGCGCGCGCAAGATACCAACGAAACCATCGAATGAATTGAAATCCTTAGCGTGGACAAGATACTAACAAAACAACCCAGTGAAATGTAATCCTTAGCGAGTGCAAGATACTGACGAAACCATCGAATGAATTGTTATCCTTAGCGTGCGCAAGATACTTAGTAAAAAAAACTATCCAATGAATTGTAATCCTTACCGTGCGCAAAATACTAACAAAACTATCGTATGAAATGTACTCCTAAGTCTGCAAAAGATACTAAAGAAACAATTCAATGAAATGTAATCCTTAGCTTACGCAAGATACTAAAGAAACAACCAAATGAAATGTAATCCTTCCCAGGAGCAAAATACTGAAAAGATAAACCAATAAAATGTAATCCTTGGCGTCCACAAGATACTAAAGAAACAATCGGGTGAAATGTAATCCTTAACGTGCGGATGATACGAAAAAAACAGTTTAATGAATTGTAATACTTAGCGTGCGCAATATAGTAAAGAAACAATCCAATGAAATGTAACCCTTAGTGTGCGCAAGATAGTAAAGAAACAATGTAGGAAATGTAATCCTTAGTGTGCGCAAGATACTAGAAAAAAATCGAATGTAATGTAATCCTTTGCGCACACAACATACTGAAGAAACAGTCGTACTAAAGAAAGTACTTCAGAAAAAATCGAAAGAAATGTAATATTTAGCGAGTGCAGGACGCTAAAGAAACAATCGAATTAATTGTAATCCTTAGCGTGCGGAAGATACTAAAGAAACTATCGAATGAAATGTAACCCTTAGCGTGTGCAAGATACTATAAAAACAATGCAATGAAAGTTAATCCTTAGTGTACGCAAGATACTGAAAAAAAAATCAAATGAATTGTAATCCTTGGTGTGTGCAAGATACTAAAGAAACAATTGAATGAATGGTGATCCTTAGCGTGCGCAAAATACTCAGAAAACTATCGTATAAAATATAATCCTGAGCGCGCGAAAGATACAAAAGAAATAATCCAATGAAATGCAATCTTAAGCGTTCTCAAGATACTGTCGAAACAATAGAATCAAATATAATCCTTAGCGTGCGTAAGATACTAACGAAACACCGGAATGAAATGTAACCGTAAGTTTGCGCAAGATACTAATGAAACAGTCCGATGAAATGTAATCTTAGGCATGCGCTAGATACCAAAGAAACAATCAAATGAAATGTAACCCTGATCGTGGGGAAAATCGAATGAAAAGTAATCGATAGCCCGGGCATGATACTAACGAAACAATCAAATGTAAGGTAAATCTAAGCGTGCACGATATACTACAAAAACAATCAAATGAAATGTAATCCTTAGGGAGGGCAAGAAAAAAAAGAAACAATCCAGTGAAATGTAATCCTTAGCGCGTGCAAGATACTAACCAAACAATCGAATGAATTTTAATCCTTACTGTGCGCAAGATACTAAAGAAACAATCGAATGAAATGCAATCCTTAGTGTGCGCAAGATTCTAAAAAGAAATCTAATAAAATGTAATCCTTTCTGTGCAAGATACTAAAGCAATACAAACTGTAATTCTTAGTATACTCAAGATACTAACCTAAGAATGGAGTGAAATGTAACCCTAAGTGTGCACAAGATACAAACGACACCATCGATTGAAATGTAATGCTAAGCTTGCTCAAGATAGTGACGAAACAATCGATTGAAATGTAATCCTTAGCGTGCGCAAGATACTTAAAAAGCAATGGAATAAATTGCAACTCTTAGCGTACGGAGGATAAAAAGAAACAATGCGATGAAATGGAATCCTTAGCGCGCACAACATACTAAAGAAACAATCGAATGAAATGTAATCCTAAGTGTGCCCTTGCTACTAAAAAAGCAGGCGAATGAAATGTAATCCTTGATATTAACGCTTGATACTAACGAAAAAATCGAATGAAATTTAATCCTTAGGGTGTGCAAGATACCGACTAAACAATCAATTGAATTGTAATCCTTAGCGTGCGCAAGATACTAACGAAATAATCCAGTGAAATGTAATCCTTAGCGTACGCAAGAGACTAACGAAACAATCGAATGAATTGTAATCCTTAGCGTGTGCAAGATACTAACGAAACAATCAAATGAATTGTAATCCTTAGCGTACGCAAAATACTAACAAAACTATCGTATGAAATAAAATCTTAAAGATGCAAAAGATACTAAAGAAACAATCCAATGAAATTTAACCCTTACCGTGCGCAAGATACTAAAGAAACAAGGCAATGAGATGCAATCCTTAGTCTGCGCAAAATACTTAGGAAACTCGAATTGTAATCCTTAGTGTGTGCAGGGTACTATTGAAACAGTCGGTTGAATCGTAATCCTTAACGTGCGCAAGATACTAACAAAACTATCGTATGAAATGTAATCCTAAACATGCGCAAGATACTAACGCAATAAAAATTGTATTTCTCAGCGTCCTCAAGATACTAACCAAACAATCGAATGAAATGCAACCCTAAGTGTGTGCAATGTGGTAACGACACCATCAAACGACATGTAATTCTAAGCATGCTCAAGATAGTAACGAAACAATTGAATGAAATGTAATCCTTAGCGTGCACAAGATACTATCGAAACAATGGAATAAAATGTAATCCTTAGCGTGCGGAGGATACGAAAGAATCAATGCGATGAAATGTAATCCTTAGTGTGCGCAAGATACCAGAGAAACAATCCAATGAAATGTAACCCTTAGCGTGCGCAAAATACTGAAGAAACAATGCCATGAAATGTAATCGTTAGTGTGCGCCAGATACTTAAAGGAAAATCGAATGAAATGTAACCCTAGGCTTGCGCTAGCTAATAAAGAAACAGACGAATGAAATGTAATCCTTAGAGAGTGCTTGATGCTAACGGAAACTTCGAGTGAAATCTAATCCTTAGCGCGCGCAAGATACCAAGGAAACAATCGAACGAATTGTAATATTTAGCGTGCGCTTGATACTAACGAAACAATCCAGTGTAATGTAATCCTTAGCGTGTGCAAGAGACTAACGAAACAATCGAATGAATTGTAATCCTTAGCGTGCGCAAGATATTAAGTAAACGAAACTATCGAATGAATTGCAATTCTTTGCGTGTGCAGGATATTAACGAAACAATCAAATGAATTATAATCCTTAGCGTGCACAAACTACTAACAAAACTATGGTAGGAAATGTAGTCCTAAGGGTGCACAAGATAATAAAGAAACAATCCAATGAAATGTAATCTTAAGCGTGCTCAAGATACTAACGAAACAATCGACTCAAATGTAATCTTTGGCTTGCGAAAGATACTAAAGAAATAATCGAGTGAAATGTAATCCTTCGTATGCGCAAGATACTAAAGAAACGATTAGATGAAATGTAATCCTTCGTATGCGCAAGATACTATAGAAACGATTAGATTAAATGTAATCCTTAGCGTCCACAGGATAGTAAAAAGACAATACAATGATTTGTAATCCTTAGCGTGCACAAGACACTTAAGAAAAAATCGAATAAAATGTAATCCTTAGCGTGCGGATGATACGAAAGAAACAATGCGATGAGATGTAATCCTTAAGGTGCACAAGATACTTAAGAGATAATCTAACGAAATGCAACCCTTAGCGCGCGCAAGATTCTAAAGAAACAATGCAGTGAAATGTAATCCTTAGTGTGCGCGAGATACTAACAAAACAAGCAAATGAAATATAATCCTAAGTGCGCGAGAGATACTAACAAAACAAGCAAATGAAATATAATCCTAAGCGTGCATGAGATACTAAGGAAACAGTCGAATGAAAGAAAATCCAAAGAGTGCCTAAGAAACTAACAAAACGGTCGAATGAAACAGAATCCTTAAAGTGCGCGAGATACTAAAGAAACAGTGCAGTGAATGTAATCCTTAGTGTGCGCGAGATACTAAAAAAAAGAGACGAAAGAAGTGTAATCCTAAGCGTGTGCAAAGTACTACGGAAACAATCGAAAGAAATGTAATCCTTAGCATGTGCAAGATACTAAAGAAACAACCAAATGAAATGTAATCCTTAGCCTGCGGAAGATACTAAAGAAACAATCCAATGAAATGTAACCCTTTGGGTGCGCAAAATACTAAAGAAACAATGCAATGAAATGTAATCTTTAGTGTACGAAAAATATTGAGAAAAATTTAATGAATTGTAATCCTTGGCGTGGGCACGATACTAACGAAACAATCAAATTAATTGTAATCCTTAGCGTGCTCAAGATACTAACGAACCCATCGAATCAAATGTAATCCTTAGCTTACGCAAGATATTAAAAAAACAATCG